GCTGGGCGGGGCCTGGGGCAGACAGGACAAGCACCCATCACCCCCCCCAGGACTCGGACCCGGGATGGGGATGGAGGGAGGGGGATGTGACCATGTGCGGCCTGGGTTGGTGGGGGCGGGGTACCTCCGTGTGTGTGTGTGTGTGTGTGGCCTGTGCATAGCGGGCTCACCCCCCCCAGGGCTGGGACCCCCCCTGGGGATGGAGGGAGGGGGATGTGACCATGTGCGGCCTGGGTTGGTGGGGGCGGGGTACCTCCGTGTGTGTGTGTGTGTGTGTGGCCTGTGCATAGCGGGCGTGTGTATCTCTGTGTGTGCGCTGTGACCGTGTGCGCGACAGGAGCAGCGTGTGGAGGTTGTCACGCTGTGTGTGCGGGTGTGGCTGGCCTGGATGTGTGTGTGTGTGGGGGGCGGGTGTCTTGTGCATGTGTGTGGGAGGGTTGTGTGTGGAGCTTGGTGGCGGGACGCACCTCCTGTGTAGCTTGCGCAGGGAGAGGAGTGTGTGACGGGGGAGGGGGGTGTGTGTGTGGAGTGTGTAGCTGTCTAGCTCGGGATGGTGTGTGTGTGTGTGTGTGGAGTGTGGAGTTCTCTAGCTCAGGATGGTGTGTATGTGGAGTGTGTAGATGTCTAGCTCAGGTTTTTGTGTGTGTGTGGAGTGTGTAGTTGTCTAGCTCAGGATGGGCTGTGTGTGTGTGGAGTGTGTAGTTGTGTAGCTCAGGATGGGCTGTGTGTGTGTGGAGTTGTCTAGCTCAGGATGGGGTGTGTGGAGTGTGTAGTTGTCTAGCTCAGGATGGTGTGTTTGTGTGCAGTTGTTTAGCTCAGGATGGTGTGTGTGTGTGGAGTGTGTAGTTGTCTAGCTCAGGATGGTGTGTGTGTGGAGTGTGTAGCTGTCTAGCTCGGGATGGTGTGTGTGTGTGTGTGTGGAGTGTGGAGTTCTCTAGCTCAGGATGGTGTGTATGTGGAGTGTGTAGATGTCTAGCTCAGGTTTTTGTGTGTGTGTGGAGTGTGTAGTTGTCTAGCTCAGGACGGGGTGTGTGTTTGCGTGTGTAGTGTGTACCACTGTCCCAGGGAAGGCATGTGCAGGCTGGTTGTGAGAAGTGTGTTTTGTGTCTGTGTGGGATGGGTGCAAAGTGTGCGAATGGCTGTGTTGTGTGTGTGTGTATAACTGAGGCTCCTAGCGTGTGTGTTGTGTATGGGTTGTGGGTGTATGTGACATATGGGATGTTATGTGTGTGGGTTGTGTTATGGGGTTTATTTGGGGAGGGAAGTGTTTTGCACAGGATGTGTGTGTCGTGCGTAGTGTGCATGGTGTGTTGTGTATAGTAGTTGTGTAGGTGGCATATGTTGTATTGCGTATGGAGTATGTGTATGGGGGATCTATGCTGTGCAAAGGGGATGTGTGTATTATGCATAATGTGTGTGTGGTGCATGGGTTGTGTATGAGAGATGTGTGTGTATGGGGTGTGTGCGGTGCATGGGGTGTGTATGTGTGGTGCACGTGCGGTGGGAATGGGGTGTGTGGCTGGAGTCTGTGTGGTTCATGTGGGGTGTGTATGGGTGTGTGTGTGGTGCATGGGGCGTGTGTGTGTGTGATGTGTATATGGGCTATGTACGGTGCATTGTGTGTGTATGTGTGATGTACGTGGAGTATGTATGGGGTGTCTGTGGGGCATGGACTGTGTGTATGTGGCGTATCTATGCTGTGTGTATGTATGGGGTGTGTATGGAGCATATGGGGTGTATATGGGGTGTTTGTGGGGCATGGGGTGTGTGTGTGGTGCATGTGGGGTGTGTATGAGGTATGTGTGGTGCACGTGGTGATTTTGGGGTGCATGTATGGTGTTCATGTTTAGGGTGTGTGTATGGGGTGTGTGTCGTGCATGTGGGGTGGGCATGGGGTGTGTGTATGAGGTGTGCGTGGTGCATGTGTGGTGTGTATGAGGTGTGTGTCGTGCATGTGGGGTGTGTATGAGGTGTGCGTGGTGCATGTGTGGTGTGTATGAGGTGTGTGTCGTGCATGTGGGGTGTGTATGAGGTGTGCGTGGTGCATGTGTGGTGTGTATGAGGTGTGTGTCGTGCATGTGGGGTGTGTATGAGGTGTGCGTGGTGCATGTGTGGTGTGTATGGGGTGTGCGTGGTGCATGTGTGGTGTGTATGGGGTGTGCGTGGTGCATGTGTGGTGTGTATGGGGTGTGCGTGGTGCATGTGTGGTGTGTATGGGGTGTGCGTGGTGCATGTGTGGTGTGTATGGGGTGTGCGTGGTGCATGTGTGGTGTGTATGGGGTGTGCGTGGTGCATGTGTGGTGTGTATGGGGTGTGCGTGGTGCATGTGTGGTGTGTATGGGGTGTGCGTGGTGCATGTGTGGTGTGTATGGGGTGTGCGTGGTGCATGTGTGGTGTGTATGGGGTGTGCGTGGTGCATGTGTGGTGTGTATGGGGTGTGCGTGGTGCATGTGTGGTGTGTATGGGGTGTGCGTGGTGCATGTGTGGTGTGTATGGGGTGTGCGTGGTGCATGTGTGGTGTGTATGGGGTGTGCGTGGTGCATGTGTGGTGTGTATGGGGTGTGCGTGGTGCATGTGTGGTGTGTATGGGGTGTGCGTGGTGCATGTGTGGTGTGTATGGGGTGTGCGTGGTGCATGTGTGGTGTGTATGGGGTGTGCGTGATGCATGTGGGGTGTGTATGGGGTGTGTGTGGTGCATGTGGGGTGTGTATGAGGTGTGCGTGGTGCATGTGTGGTGTGTATGGGGTGTGCGTGATGCATGTGGGGTGTGTATGGGGTGTGTGTGGTGCATGTGGGGTGTGTATGGGGTGTATGTGGTGCATGTGGGGTGTGTGTGGTGCATGTGGGGTGTGTATGGGGTGTGACGGGGATATTTGGGGTGCTTGGGGTGCGTGTGTGCGGTACACGTGTAGTGGGGGGGCATGCGTGGTGCATAGGGGGTGTGCTGGGCGGTGAGTTTCACTGCCCCCTAGCAGTGGGGCACCCTCCCCCCAGCCTTGGCCGACCTATCTGCCCCAGAGGGGCCCCGCTCCCTCAGGCCTTTCCCCTGGGCGGGGGAGCCGTTCCCTGCCCCTCACAGAGCCCTCCGTGGCCCCAGCCCGTCACCCCGCCTCTGGGCTGCCCAGCCCCCGGCTGCTCCCCCTACCCACTGGGACCGGAGGGAACGCTGGGCCCGAGATCGCCCGCCTGGTATCAGCAGGGAACTCGTTAATTCCAACACCGCTCCCTGGGTTGTCAGTAGGTTCCAGAGTTAACACGCCGTCTAGGCGCCTCGGGCAGCTCCCCCCTTCTCCGAGCGGGCGGCTCCGGGTCTCGGCAGCCTCCAGACCATGCCCCTGTGTCCCAGAATGGCCTGACTCGGTTGGCTTTCAGAGCCCAGCCCCCCTTCTGGCCCCCCAGGTGGGGGGCAGCCAACGGGCGTGTCCATCCATGCGCAGCTTGCAGAGCGGAAGCGTGTCCTTAGCTCACCCCGGCCTGTGTCCTCGCCGGAGAGAGACTGAGAGTCTGATCCGCTCGAATCCGGCCCTGTCCCTGCTGCATTCAGGAGTGACTCCGGATTGACTCTGGGATTGAGCGGCCCTGCCCCCAGTGTAAACAGGGCTGACTCCAGATGAGATCCGGAGAGCTGAGCCCAGAACCCGGCCCGGCTCCCAGTGGAACCCAGGGTGACTCCGGATTGACTCCGGGGATGCTAGCATTGCCGTCACGTGAGGCCAGGCAGCTTGCAGGCCCAAAATGGGTGGTACACGCTGAGCCGTGAGCATGGCTGTAGCAGATGGAGGATGTGTGGATTCAACACATCCCTGGGTCCTGTCTTGTGCAGGAAATCCAGCTACAACTTTCATCTGCCTTTCCCTAGTAGAAACCCCCGGGGAAAAGTAAACAGGACCTAGACTAGCTCCTCTCAGGTGTGACTCGCTCCTAAGATGTGTCCACACTGGAAACCAGAGTAAGTGACTTTATATCAGTGTACTTTTTACATCCTCACATGTATTACAATACAACTGATACCTTCATTAGCATGTGACCTTCTGTTAACAACCATGTGTTGATCAAGCCACGCCAAACACATTTTCCCTTATGGTGACAGGCTCCAAAGTGCAGCTACAGCCTACAAGTCAATTAGTGCCCCATTCCTAGGCACAGGGGGGTAATTTTAGGATTAAACCTGGCTGAAACTCCACTCTGTTAAGTCACACGTGCTCTGGAGTTCCTCTTCTAGTGATGTAGCTACACTACTACAGGTGCACTAGTGCAGCCCCTTATTGTAAACATGCCCTAGTTAAAAAATACCTTACACCAGTGCAGCTTACACCAGTTCAAGCCCTTGCTAAGAGTTAAACCTGATATCTTCCCAAATTCTGCATTTACACTCATCTCCTGAACGTCAGTCCGCTCTGCTTGGACTAGTAGCTAGAACTGGGCCAACACTGCCAAATATTTTCTGTGGATGTTTGTCTGACGTTTGCTTTGACTGTGTTTACACTCGCATATGCTCTAGTGACTACATTTACTGGCAGGAGTGTTCCTGGAAATGATGAGATTTAATAAGGCGCGTACTGGAGTCTAGTTGCCAGAACTGATGTCTGAATATATAATAATGAATAGCCACACTGAAAACTGGACTCATCAGATTGAGAATGAAATTAGGTGCAGTACCACGAGACCACGCTACCGATTAGAACGGGTCACCAACACACCACAGTCGTAGACTTCTGTGCTAGATTATTTGGGGATTAAATTTGCATAAACAATAGGTGAAGGGAAACCGAGTTGTTCACATGCGCTTCACAAAGAGACAAAATTTGTCACATGAATTATTTGTTGCGACTAACATGCAGGAAGCTCCTTCTTTTGGACCTGTCATATATTACCCCTAATGAAAGGGACAGTGGTCATGCGTTGAACTTACAGTTGCTGATGCATGACTGTTCCACCAACAGCACCAATGTCACTTAAATGGAGCACCAATTCCATTTAAAACAAATTTGAAAACCCCAGACTAGTATAGTGATTAGAGTAGGAAGTCAGGAATCCATGCCCAGCTCTGGTGCAGTTTTTTTTGTATGTGGAAAATCACTTATTCACTCTGTGCCTCAGTTTACCTGTCTGTACGATGGGGAATGCGGTACCCACTCACAGAGATGCGGTGAGGCTTAATTAACTAATCTTACAGATGATCAAAATATGTCGCCGTGTTTGTGACCGTACTGTCCTTTCTTTAGCAGATATTTGAAGTGGAATAATCAAAATTTGTAAATTAATTTTTTACCAGCTCTGTAGCTACTCAAATACAAGCTGTCATTTTTTCACAAGAATCTGTTTTTTAATTCAAATGTCCATGTACGTACTGACCACTTCATTGGAATCCAAAATGTAAATGAAAAGATGCAGGGATAGGTCGTGTGTGTGTGTTTCCCCCATTTGTAGAATGGCGATAATGCTACTGACCTGCTTTGTAAATCACTATAAAATCTAAGAATGAAGAGTGCGAAATAAAAACTTGGTATTGGTGTGGTGGGCTTGGCAGGCTCTGTGTTTGTGTGTGTGTGTGTGTGTGTGTGTGTGTGGGGGGCAGGTTTGTGTGTGTGTGTGTGTGTGTGTGTGTGTGTATGGACCAGGTTAATCTGTGTGTGTGTGTGTGTGTGTGTGTGTGTCTGTACGGACCAGGTTAGTCCGTGTGTGTGTGTGTGTGTGTGTGTGTGTGTGTGTGTGTGTGTGTGTGTGTCCCTGCTCCCCCTGCTGGAGGGGATGAGTTGTGCTGTGTGTGTGTGTGTGTGTGTGTGTGTGTGTGTGTGTCCCTACTAGCCCTTGCTGGAGGGGCTCTGTCCTGGTCTCCCTCTCTCTCTTGTGTCTGTCTGGCCCGGCCGTGTGTCCCTCTGACCCTGGCGCATGTCTGTCTGGCCCTGGCGTGTGTCTGTCTGGCCCTGGTGTGTGTGTCCGTCTGGCCCAGCCGTTTGTCCGTTTGGCCTGGGCGTGTGTCCGTCTGGCCCTGCCATGTGTCTGTCTGGTCCTGACGTGTGTGTCTGTCTGGCCCTGGCGTGTGTGTCTGGCGCTGGCGTGTGTCCGTCTGACCCTGCCGTGTGCCTGTCTGGCCCTCCCGTGTGTCTGTCTGGCCCGGCCGTGTGTCCCTCTGACCCTGGCGCATGTCTGTCTGGCCCTGGCGTGTGTCTGTCTGGCCCTGGTGTGTGTGTCCGTCTGGCCCAGCCGTTTGTCCGTTTGGCCTGGGCGTGTGTCCGTCTGGCCCTGCCATGTGTCTGTCTGGTCCTGACGTGTGTGTCTGTCTGGCCCTGGCGTGTGTGTCTGGCGCTGGCGTGTGTCCGTCTGACCCTGCCGTGTGCCTGTCTGGCCCTCCCGTGTGTCTGTCTGGCCCGGCCGTGTGTCCCTCTGACCCTGGCGCATGTCTGTCTGGCCCTGGCGTGTGTCTGTCTGGCCCTGGTGTGTGTGTCCGTCTGGCCCAGCCGTTTGTCCGTTTGGCCTGGGCGTGTGTCCGTCTGGCCCTGCCATGTGTCTGTCTGGTCCTGACGTGTGTGTCTGTCTGGCCCTGGCGTGTGTGTCTGGCGCTGGCGTGTGTCCGTCTGACCCTGCCGTGTGCCTGTCTGGCCCTCCCGTGTGTCTGTCTGGCCCGGCCGTGTGTCCCTCTGACCCTGGCGCATGTCTGTCTGGCCCTGGCGTGTGTCTGTCTGGCCCTGGTGTGTGTGTCCGTCTGGCCCAGCCGTTTGTCCGTTTGGCCTGGGCGTGTGTCCGTCTGGCCCTGCCATGTGTCTGTCTGGTCCTGACGTGTGTGTCTGTCTGGCCCTGGCGTGTGTGTCTGGCGCTGGCGTGTGTCCGTCTGACCCTGCCGTGTGCCTGTCTGGCCCTCCCGTGTGTCTGTCTGGCCCGGCCGTGTGTCCCTCTGACCCTGGCGCATGTCTGTCTGGCCCTGGCGTGTGTCTGTCTGGCCCTGGTGTGTGTGTCCGTCTGGCCCAGCCGTTTGTCCGTTTGGCCTGGGCGTGTGTCCGTCTGGCCCTGCCATGTGTCTGTCTGGTCCTGACGTGTGTGTCTGTCTGGCCCTGGCGTGTGTGTCTGGCGCTGGCGTGTGTCCGTCTGACCCTGCCGTGTGCCTGTCTGGCCCTCCCGTGTGTCTGTCTGGCCCGGCCGTGTTGTGTCCTTCTGCACTGGTGTGTGTGTCTGGCCCTGGCGTGTGTCTGTCTGGCCCTGGTGTGTGTGTCTGGCCCGGCCGTGTGTCCGTCTGGCCCTGGAGTGTGTGTGTGGCCCTGGCATGTGTCTGTCTGGCCCTGGTGTGTGTCCTTCTGCACTGGTGTGTGTGTGTCTGGCCCTGGTGTGTGTGTCTGGCCCGGCCGTGTGTCCGTCTGGCCCTGGAGTGTGTGTCTGGCCCTGGCATGTGTCTGTCTGGCCCTGGTGTGTGTCCTTCTGCACTGGTGTGTGTGTGTCTGGCCCTGGCATGTGTGTCTGGCCCTGCCGTGTGTCCGTCTGGCCCTGGCATGTGTGTCTGTCTGGCCCTGGCGTGTGTGTCTGGCCCTGGCGTGTGTCTGTCTGGCCCTGGTGTGTGTGTCCGTCTGGCCCAGCCGTTTGTCCGTTTGGCCTGGGCGTGTGTCCGTCTGGCCCTGCCATGTGTCTGTCTGGTCCTGACGTGTGTGTCTGTCTGGCCCTGGCGTGTGTGTCTGGCCCTGGCGTGTGTCCGTCTGGCCCTGGCATGTGTGTCTGTCTGGCCCTGGCGTGTGTGTCTGGCGCTGGCGTGTGTCCGTCTGACCCTGCCGTGTGCCTGTCTGGCCCTCCCGTGTGTCTGTCTGGCCCGGCCGTGTGTCCCTCTGACCCTGGCGCATGTCTGTCTGGCCCTGGCGTGTGTCTGTCTGTCTGGTCCTGCCGTGTGTCCATCTGACCCTGGCATGTGTCTGTCTGGCCCTGCCATGTGTCTCTCTGTCTGGCTCTGCTGTGTATCTGTCTGACCCTGGCATGTGTCTTTCTTGCCCTGGCGTGTTTTTGTCTGACCCTGGCGTGTGTCTCTCTGTCTGGCCCTGCCCTGTGTCCGTCTGACCCTGCCATGCCCTGCTGTGTGTCCCCCTGACCCTGCCGTGTGTCTGTCTCGCCCTGGCATGTGTCTGTCTGACCCTGGCGTGTGTCTTTCTTGCCCTGGCGTGTTTGTCTGACCCTGGCATGTGTCTCTCTGTCTGGCCCTCCCGTGCATCCGTCTGGCCCTGCTATGCCCTGCTGTGTGTCTGTCTGTCTGGCCCCGGCGTGTGTCTGTCTGGACCTGCAGCACTTGCTGGATGAACCGGCAGCAGGTTCAAAACAAAGCCAAGGCAGCTTTTCTTCAGGAAGTGCACGGTTAACTTGTGGAACTCCTCGCTGGGGCATGAAATGAACCGGCAGCAGGTTCAAAACAAAGCCAAGGCAGCTTTTCTTCAGGAAGTGCACGGTTAACTTGTGGAACTCCTCGCTGGGGCATGAAATGAACCGGCAGCAGGTTCAAAACAAAGCCAAGGCAGCTTTTCTTCAGGAAGTGCACGGTTAACTTGTGGAACTCCTCGCTGGGGCATGAAATGAACCGGCAGCAGGTTCAAAACAAAGCCAAGGCAGCTTTTCTTCAGGAAGTGCACGGTTAACTTGTGGAACTCCTCGCTGGGGCATGAAATGAACCGGCAGCAGGTTCAAAACAAAGCCAAGGCAGCTTTTCTTCAGGAAGTGCACGGTTAACTTGTGGAACTCCTCGCTGGGGCATGAAATGAACCGGCAGCAGGTTCAAAACAAAGCCAAGGCAGCTTTTCTTCAGGAAGTGCACGGTTAACTTGTGGAACTCCTCGCTGGGGCATGAAATGAACCGGCAGCAGGTTCAAAACAAAGCCAAGGCAGCTTTTCTTCAGGAAGTGCACGGTTAACTTGTGGAACTCCTCGCTGGGGCATGAAATGAACCGGCAGCAGGTTCAAAACAAAGCCAAGGCAGCTTTTCTTCAGGAAGTGCACGGTTAACTTGTGGAACTCCTCGCTGGGGCATGAAATGAACCGGCAGCAGGTTCAAAACAAAGCCAAGGCAGCTTTTCTTCAGGAAGTGCACGGTTAACTTGTGGAACTCCTCGCTGGGGCATGAAATGAACCGGCAGCAGGTTCAAAACAAAGCCAAGGCAGCTTTTCTTCAGGAAGTGCACGGTTAACTTGTGGAACTCCTCGCTGGGGCATGAAATGAACCGGCAGCAGGTTCAAAACAAAGCCAAGGCAGCTTTTCTTCAGGAAGTGCACGGTTAACTTGTGGAACTCCTCGCTGGGGCATGAAATGAACCGGCAGCAGGTTCAAAACAAAGCCAAGGCAGCTTTTCTTCAGGAAGTGCACGGTTAACTTGTGGAACTCCTCGCCAAGGGATGAAATGAACCAGAAGGGGGGTTAAAACAAACCCAAGGCAGCTTTTCTTCATGAAGTGCACAGTTAACTTGTGGAACTCCTCGCTGGGGGATGAAATGAACCAGAAGGGGGGTTAAAACAAACCCAAGGCAGCTTTTCTTCATGAAGTGCACAGTTAACTTGTGGAACTCCTCGCTGGGGGATGAAATGAACCAGAAGGGGGGTTAAAACAAACCCAAGGCAGCTTTTCTTCATGAAGTGCACAGTTAACTTGTGGAACTCCTCGCTGGGGGATGAAATGAACCAGAAGGGGGGTTAAAACAAACCCAAGGCAGCTTTTCTTCATGAAGTGCACAGTTAACTTGTGGAACTCCTCGCTGGGGGATGAAATGAACCAGAAGGGGGGTTAAAACAAACCCAAGGCAGCTTTTCTTCATGAAGTGCACAGTTAACTTGTGGAACTCCTCGCTGGGGGATGAAATGAACCAGAAGGGGGGTTAAAACAAACCCAAGGCAGCTTTTCTTCATGAAGTGCACAGTTAACTTGTGGAACTCCTCGCTGGGGGATGAAATGAACCAGAAGGGGGGTTAAAACAAACCCAAGGCAGCTTTTCTGCATGAAGTGCATGGTTAACTTGTGGAACTCCTCGCCGGGGCATGAAATGAACCAGCAGCAGGTTTATAAAAAAAACCAAAGGAAGTTTTTCTTTGTGCAGCTAACAGTCAACCTGTGGAACTCCTCGCCGGGGGACTCCTGGGTTCCCTGCTGGCTTTGCGCGGGCAGCAGGGTCACAGCGGGAGCGAAGGAGCTTGGAGGCACGACCCTGTGAAGGTCTCACGGGCCTTTTCCCTCTTCCCCCTCTAGATGCTGCTGCTGCTGCTCACCGTGGTGGTGCTCCTCCCCGATCCCGGCTCCGGGGCGCTGGGGTTCAACAGCACGGCAGGGATGGGTCCCCACAACCTGGAGGGCTGAGCCTGGCCCACTGGGCGTCTCACCCACCCCCAAAACTCCCCGGACAGCCCTGCTCAGGCCCTGAGAAGCTCCCGCCGGGCTCCCCCGTGCACACTGACATGCTCAGTTTTGCACACCCCAGGTGCACTGTTCCCCTGCACACGCCCGGGCACACTCACCCACGTGAAGACACACGGGGCCTGTACTTGCCAAGGAAGCCCGGGAACACAAACACAAGGGCCTATATGCGAGGACCCCCCGCCCACACACAAACAGGGGGCTGCACGTGCACACAACCCAGGAACTCAAACACAAGTGTCCATGTGCGAGGACCTCCTTGCACACATGCACCGGGGACTGCCCAGGTACACAAGCCCGGGAACTCAAACACAAGAGCCCACGTGCAAGGACCCCTGCGCACACACACAACCAGGGGCTGCACACGCACAGAAGCCCAGGAACACAAACACAAGGGCCCAAGTGTGAGGACCCCCGCACGCACACACCAGGGGCTGCACACGCACAGAAGCCCAGGAACACAAACACAAGGGCCCATGTGCGAGGACCCCTGTGCACACACACTGGGGCTGCACACGCACAGAAGCCCGGGAACACTAACACAAGGGCCCATGTGCGAGGACCCCTGCGCACACACACCGGGGCTGCACACGCACAGAAGCCCGGGAACACTAACACAAGGGCCCACATACGAGGACCCCCGCACGCACACACCAGGG